CGAGAGAGAGAGAGAGAGAGAGAGAGAGAGAGAGAGAGAGAGAGAGAGAGAGAGAGAGAGAGAGAGAGCGAGAGAGAGAGAGAGAGAAAGAGAGAGAGAGAGAGAGAGCCCACCTATAGTTGCGTGCCATCGCTATCTGTATGATGCATATGTGGACGTCTACCTTTCCTGCGGAGAGGATTTGGGCTGAGCATGAGCACATTCACACTGTGAAGCAAAACAAGCTTGGCTTTGCGAAGGTGGCACAACTGGTTGAGATTACGACTTATCTCAAACGAGCTTCGTGCAGGCAGCATGGTGGTGGGTATGTTCTACCGTGGATCATGGACGACCACGATGACCATAGACCTTGTGGGGCTGCGGGGGAGGACAGGGAGGACGGTGATCCACAACAAGCGGCGTGGGGGGCGAGACCGGTTGGGACCTTCAGCGATGAGGAGTTGAGGAGGCCGATTGTCATGTTCACACACGATGGCACAGCCTCTCCGCGAAAGGCGTCTGTCGTTTTTGGTGAGAGGGCGACCACATTATTGCCTTACGATCATGTGCCTCCTCCCGCACAGGACGCTGGCGTTGAGGGTGTGCAGACTGGGAAGGACGACTGGACGGACCCGGAGGACCTTGCGCCGGGAGGGGACAAGTCCGTGAAGCAGGTTTATTTCACCTATGGCGGAGGATCCAACGGGCTTGCATCTCGGACATCAGTCATCACTAACGACGCCTTAGGCCCGAAACAGGGAGTTAAAGACGAGTGGAGCCCTGAAGGTCGCTCGACTCAGCCATCAAGCAGCACGGCCACAAACCTTCCCCTACGCACGAGGAAGGTTATAAGGGTCGACTCGAGGGAGGATGAGCCCGAGACAGAAGAGCGTTTGAGGGATGCTCGGTTTGATCCTAGCCACCACTCGTTCGAGCATTCACAGCTCCTACGTCGATCGGCGAGGTTGGCAGGTCAGGGAGGTGTGGCGTCGCAGCACCTAGAGGACATCCCACTCAAGGAGCGTACTACGCTCACTCCGTCACACGACCGTGATCTTCAGGACACCCACGACACGCCTTCTTTGTTGCGGACCAGCAATTTCGACATCAGGCGGTGGGTGGTTGTCTTGCAGACGAGTTACGGACTGTTTGAGGAGGGATTACGAGAGGGGACAAGGGTTTTTTGCACGAGGTCCGGCGGCGGGGGCAGATGTTGGTGACGCGGGCGTTGCATTCGTACGACGACCCAGTGTGCACATGACAACACGTATCCTGGGATTGCCGGAGAGACAGACGTGGAGGCAGGTAGTTTTCCCGGACCAGGTGTTGTTGAAGATAGACGTCGAGGATTGCCTTAGGCTCAGGAGGGTGATTTACATATGCCCGCAGGGGCGAGACGTCACGGATCTATCAGTGGCCTAGAGGCTCAGATTGTTATCGAGCGACAGCGTCTAGAGGACTTGGTTCGAGAGCGTGACGGGCTGGTCGAGACAGACACACACGAGGACGAGGCCGACACAAAGACAGAGCCATCGACATTGTAGCTCGGAGGGATAGGGCCACGAAGGCAGCGGCTGAGGCGGCAAGGGATCCGCATGCCCAACCTCGACAGACAGAGAGAGTGGCACGTGGGCGGGGACAGAGTGCACCTCTCGAGAGTACATTAGGCGTAGCAAGTCATGGGACTCGTACGAGGCGCAGTGGGAGGAGTTAGAGACTTATACATTACGTTTGCTTCATTCTTTCTAATACTTGTTCTGTTATTTTATCTTAGGTTAGTACTTCAATGTCTAGGGGCTTTTTTTTTCTTTTTTTTTTTTTACATCTGTAGCTACTTGTTTTGGGCCTATTTTTTCCTGGTGTCATACTGTCAGCAAGTGTCTTTGTTCCGTTGTTTTGTCTTAGATTAGTGCTTTAGTCTTTAGGACTTTTTTTTTTTTTTTACATATGTATCTCATATGCCACAAACCTGTATGGTGCAGGTGGTGTAGGTATGTTGTATTTTCTACTTGTCTAATACTGTCAGCGGGTCCTTGTCCATGTGGAGGCAATCCTTACTGGTGTTTTATTTGGTGGATGCATTTCGAGGCACGGATTTGATGTTATCTGTACTCATGATGCTTTGCATTTTTTGTATATCGACACACGCTGAGAGTACTTTGTCACTGCGTTGTTTTGTCTTCATCGACTCATCTCCCTTTCTATGTGCTCATGAAACCCTTCTGTGCGACCTACCCGAACATGCTCATGTGTGGTAGTTGATATTGATGTGTGACACTGTGTGTTTCTGTGGTGTTGTTGTTAATTGAGCCCTGAAACCTCATGTGCAGTACATTTGATGCATGGTGTTATGATGTTCATGCTTCGCATGTTCCATTGCAATAACACTTGTTTATGTGGTGTTATTGTCACGTCTTCTTTGGCCAAAACTTTATTAAACACCTATTGACCCACCCCATAATGGACACACGCACCCATAGACACCCCCTAGCACCCCCCACACCACCCCCAAGGGCCCCAACCCACCCCAACCCACACACCGCATAGGCACGATGACACCCACCCTCCCATCCCCCATACCCGCCCCCCTGACCCCACTTCTGGACAAGACTCCCCAAACGAAGTGCACAAAAAAAAAATATGTATATTTCTTTGTTACAATGGAAGTACACCCCCCCGACAACACCCTGGCACCGACGAAACTCGGTAAGGGGGGGTCGGACTCCTTGATTTTTTTTTACCCCCCACCAACCCCCCCTAAAACCACCCCCCCACTTTTTTATTTTTTTATGGTTTTTCACAGCGGGGCGGAAGACACCCCCCCCCCGCCATTGGGATCCGATCCCCGCTTCCCCGCACCCCTCTCCCCTCGCCCCCGGCGGGCCGACTTTGACCACGACCACAATGGTTATGACCTGGTGCTTGCGGCCCCAACCACGGTCCGCGGTTGTATCCGCGGTGACTGTGGCAGCAGGGGATTCGTAGACGGTCGGGCCGCCCGGAAAAATAGGGTGACCCGGGCAGCCCTGCTGGTGGCCACGCTCGAATTTTCCATATCTGGAATTAGTCAGGAAAGTTCATCCGGATTTGAAATTCCAGATGAAATGGGTGTGTCGGATATCCGGTTTTCTTATCTACAACCGTTTTTTTTCTTCTTGTTTTTTCTGTGTACGTGCACACACCATCAAACAGACACACACTGACACACACACAACATACAGAACACGTGGTATACCTGCACATTTTTTTGCGAGGGGCTATATCCAATTGATAAATACATTGGTTTTAGTCGTTAAAGAATGATGGACAGGGGTGTTCAAAGTTAAACAGCGAGTACGCATAAAATCAGCCTTAAAAGAGTTCGTTTTTTTCAAGCAATTTAAAGATACAGGGTGCATGCACAGTAGTCATCAAACTCAACACCCCAGCAAAAAGAAAAGAAAAAAAAATTGTACGCCACCCCCCCGTACGTGCAGCGCACAAGTATGGATTCGTATGGCAATATGCTTACACGGTACTATCAAACGGATTGCTACGCAACCCTAAAAAAAAAAAAAATTGTAAAGTCTTGAAAACAATAAAGGAATAATGTGATTCATTGGAACCGGGACCGCAAACATCACCTAAACACCTCCTTCCCCGTACACTGTGCACACCCTCACACCCTACCGCCTTAAGATGCCCCAAAAGTAAACCCGAAAAAAAGTAATCTGATTGAAGCCTTAACAAAGCATCATGAAAAAGTGAATACTCAAACAAATACGAAAGCAAATTAAAAAAATGAATGAATGTAGAAATTTTCAATACTAGACCAAAATACATCGACAAGAGATGGATAAGAGGCAAAACCAAAGGAATGTCACGTAATGAGTAAGATAGAGGAATCGTGAATCCCTTTAAAAAACAAACATTAGATTTGAGCGTAATTTATAAAAGATTCTTAAAAGTATGTTTTTTTAGGCCTCCATAACGAGCAAAATTCTGCATAAGGTTGCCTAGCACTGTGTTCGGGTTCGGTGACTGAACCCGAACAAGGGCCAAAAATCACCAAAGCCGAATGTAAATATATATATTACATATAAATCTAATTTTATTTATACTACATCTATATATATTATACATAACCTAATAGTGGGATGATTGGGCTCGTTTGGAGAGGCTAGGGGGCATTCCACACATGCACACACACACACGCCCAAGCGTGTGGGAGGAGGGGACGCTGCAGCAGTTGCCTCGTGGCGGCCATAGGGAGAACAAGGGATTTGGGAGGGCGAGAAGGAGGACCTTGGGGGATCGGGAGTGGGATGGCGACGAAGGAGGTTGGAGATAAGAGGGAAGAAGACGAAGTCGAAGAGGAGGAGGAGGAGGCGGAGGAGGAGGAGGAGGAGAAGAAGAAGAAGAAGAAGAAGAAGAAGAAGAAGAAGAAGAAGAAGAAGACAACGGATGGGAATAGGGTAGTCAATGTCCCCTTCGACAGACCTTCGCTGATTGGAGTTGCCCGACCTCGATTTCAATAAAGGAGGGGTGTTGATTGCCCCTCAGGTGGGAGGTAGGTTGTTCCGGGTTTCATGTGTCTGATCTGTTTTTTGGCATGTTTGATGATTGTTTGTTGTGTTGGTTGATGAAAATCCTTTTCGTTAGGGTTATGCTTTCATGGTAGGAGGTCAATCCTTCCCTCTCGCTCGAAAGTAATCAATGCCTCTTCTATTTAGAAAGACATGGTAGATATGGTGGAATACGGATTTGGCTTCACATGACATAAACATACCAAATGAACACAATCACATGGTATTGGATGAACTCTAATGACATCTCCAAAAATCATTGAATTTGGATGTTGGATGGACCCTGGACCCAATTTCCAGCTGACACTCATCATATCATTGTATAAGGATGTTGGACCCGATTTCCAGCAGGTGCTGCTCCCCAGGGACTCCCCACCAACAGATGGACCCTTCAACGCTAGGGCCCACTTAACAAGGCAGCTCTTATCACCTCGTTCAGTGTTTTTTTTTTCCTCCCCTAAAGAGACATCTTTTAAGTTGTTATTAGGGTCCAGTGCCCAAGGCCAAAAATACAATGGTACAGGTTCCAGATTCAGGGAAAGCAAGGTCACCAACCTACTTCATGAGGTGGAGCCCCTCCCTTGTGACAGTTCGCCTAAGTGAAAAGTCAAAGAGAGACCAAATGCTAGCAAACAACGACAGGGAATTGCAATACCTAATCTAGCAAGTAGATATTTAAAGAAAGTCAGGAAAAAAAAAGTCAAAGAGTTGATCTACTGTGGAAAAGTTGTGCAACCGGTTGAATGCGCCTAATGCGCATTCGTGTTCGAACGCGCGCGTTCACACGGGGTGGGGCCACGTTCAATCGCGTTCAAACGCGCTGCGCGCCACATGGCGCGAAAAAATTGAACGCGACCCCACGCGGCCGCGCCCCGCGCGCACGTGTCAGGGGCTGCGGGATGGTGGTCCTCGTTCATCGGTCCCCGACCGTAAAAAAAAAAAAAAAACCGGAGGCCCACCCCCAGCAACCGCGTCACCCCCCGCCAACACGACCCTCCGCCCATACCCAACCGTACATCAACGCCACCCGATCCCAACCCCCCCACCCCCGCCCCGCCCCCACTAACAACCCCCCAACTGCGCCACCCAGGGTTCCTTGCGGGCCGCTGGTTTGGGGGGGTTATTAGGGAGGGTCATGGGGGGATAGGTGTGGGCGGGGTAATGGGGGATTATTAGAATGGGTTATGACCGTTACGCTGGGTATATGTGTGGCGGGGGGGTGCGCGACGTGAGGGTTTGGGTTTTGTGGGGCGTGGGCGCACTGGGCGGACTTCGGGGGTTTGGGCTTGGCTCGATTTGAACCCACACAAAGCCCAAATCCCCCAAGACCGCCCACCCCCCATTAAACCCCAAAGAATTCCAGTTTTTTTTTGTTTTTTTTTTCTTTTTTTTTAACTTTTTTTTTCCCCCTTCTACCTCTGCTCTTTCATCTTCAATAAGCATGAGAGCGGCCACCCTTCCTAATATACTTTATTTTTTTGGGGGGGGGGGAGGGGAGGGGAGGGCGCAATGGGAGGTTTTGGGTTTTGTGGGGCGTGGATGGACTGGGGGGTTTGGGCTTGGCTCGATTTGAATAAGCATAAAGCCCAAATCCCCAAAGTGCGCCCACGCCCCACAAACTTCCTCTGCTCTTTCATCTTCAATAAGCACTAGAGGGGCCACCCTTCCTAATATTATCCTTTTTTTTTTTTTGGGGGGGGGGGGGGGGGGGGGGGGGGGGGGGGGGGGGGGGGGGGGGGGGGGGGAGGGTTTCGGTTTTGTGTGGTGTGGGCGAACTTGGGGGATTTCGGTTTGGTGCGGGCTCAAATCGAGCCAAGCCCAAACCCCCCAAGTCCGCCCACGCCCCACAACCCAGGTTTTTGTGGTGCTGATACAATGCGACGTGGGATTACTGAGAGATCAGGAATTTGTCGATGAACACATCTATGTAGTTGTTATTCCATTCATGTGGAGAGATGCAAGTTCACACACTGTTCTTATATCCCCATATGCAACACTCATCGTCTGAAATCAGAAACATTGCAAACGCCAAGATATAATCGA